TCTAAGGATTAAGGTTCAAAGCCAGCCCAGGCAGGAAAGTCCTATGGGGCTTTTATCCCTAATGAACCATCAGAAAACCCGAAGTGGCGCTGTGGCTTAAAGTGGAAGAGTGCTAGCCTTGAGTGAAAAAGCTTGGGGGCAGCAGCTAGGCCCCGAGTTCAAGCCCCACAATCAACCAAAAAAAAAACAATTTATGCCCCTGGAAGCACCCTAGACAAACAGGAGAGGCAACTGGAACTTGAGAAGGGACCAGCTGGCACAAGAGAAGGTGGACCGCAGTGAAATGAGTGAGAAGAGAGGACTTGCCGGGAAGCACACACACAGAGGAAGCACATACCCAGGAAGGAAAGCCTTCCTGCCACAAGAGAAGAAGTGAGGTTCAGACACCCAACACCCCCTTCTGAGACGCAATCAACCCTATAGAGGTGCATATAGTAAAACTGCCCAATAGAAAACAATGCAACTTAGCTGACATCTGGGAAGACGGTACATGCTCTAGCACTCAGCCAGTGAGGGACTGAACACTGCGGGACACATTGCGCTGGCTGCGCCTTCCTGCTAGATAGCCTGGCAAGGCCGTTGGTAGCCATCGAGTCTTGCTTTCTTGTACTTTGTATCTCAAAGAGTCCATTCTTGGAGCTTGGATGGATGAGTGGGTTGCTCCCATGTTGCACTGGCTTTATATTGGGTATTAGAAGTCATCTAGACATGATTTTAAGTATACAAGAGAATTTGCAAATACACTCCCAGGCTGGCCCACCATTTTATACAAGCAACTTGAACATCTGAATTTTTGGTTTCCTTGAAGAGATCCTGTAGTCAACCCTCCCCATCCCTCCCCACACTCACAGAGTGATAATTCTGTGTAGAAGACAGGATTTGTTTTCCCCATAATTGACCAGCTCTACTCCAGCTTTTCCTACAGAGCAAGCATGCTCTCCTGCCTGCCTACCACTGTGTGTGCGTGTGTGTGCATGTGTGCACACACACACACACACACACACACACACACACACACACACACACACATATCCTGCTCATAACTACCGCTCTGTTTCTCTGCTCTTACAGGTTCTGGTAGTTTTATTCCCTTTCACCTACACATTGTTCTATCCTGATTTTGTCCTCTTCTCTCTTTCTCTCTCTCCTTCTAGCATAGATAATTAGAATCTGCTTTTGATTTAAAAAAAGAAAAAGCACTGACTCCTTGGGTCAACCAGAAGCAGCCTAAAGTGCTGGTCCTCTCTACCATCTGTCCTCTCTGCCATCTGTCCTTGCACAGAGCAGCCCTCTGCAGCCACATTGAAATCCAGGAAGGACAAGACTGATCAATACCATCTTGTGACACGAGTCAAAACTACCCCCACAGACAGCAATGCCTTTCTTATCACAACCAGACACGGTTGACCATCCTGTGACAGAGATAACCAGAATGCACCATGAGCTGTGACTCTTGCTAATTAGACATGCTCTCACCCTGTGCCCCAATACTTCTTCCACTTAAACCTGAAGCTCATGTCTATACCTTGGAAGGTAGACTGAAATGCTGATGTAGCTTCTTCCTGTGCTGTGCATGTGCCGTGTAACAAATGTCCCAGCCCTGCCCTTCCCACCCTGTATTTCTTTATTTGGTGTAGCTGGACCTTATGCCTGGAACTCCTGGGGTTGCGCCTCTGGCCTAAAACGCAGTTACATTTCCTTTCCCTGTGTAGACCTATGCAGATCTTGCTGAACGCTTACCCACCTTGTGGGAATCCCACAGAGAACAGCCAGGCTGACCCAGCAGGCAAAGCTGAGCAGCCAGAGTAACCCCAGCTCATCCATGGGAATTAGAGACTACCCCATCCCAGGGCAGGTGGAGATTTCAGGACACAGGAACCAGAGAACTATAGTCTGTTTCACTTAGCCCTCTGTGACCAGGATGGTGGGGTGGTGAACACCATGCAGAGGATAAGCCCAGGCTTGTTTCTTGAGGGTCCAGTGGCGGCCTCTAGAGCATAAACAATTATGTCACCTGCTGCCAGTGGCAAGGTCCACGGTGAGCTTCACCAAGCATCAGCGAGCAGAGACTAACCAGGAAGGCTGTCGAATAGGCAGATCCTGGGCCTGTTCCTCAGGGCAGCCTGCTTAGAAGGTTTGCCCTGGGTCCCTAATAAAAAGCACACTTTCGGTCAGGAGGGAAAAACTGGGAGAAAACCAAGGGAAGAGATGACACTGTTCAAAAAGAAATGTACCCATTACCTGATGTACATAACTGAAACCCCTCACATTAACAATAAAAAATAATAAAACCCATACTTTGAAAGACTGGTCTCTCCCTAGGAAAGTGGTCTAGAATCTTTTAGAATCTGTGTACCCTCCAGCCCATCAGCTGTACTGAACACTGATGAAAATGAACTTAAGCAACTCAAGGGCAGCGATGGGAGGGAGGGAATGAGAGGGAAAGAGGGAACAGCTGACACTAAGCAAAAGGAAAGAAACGTACCTATCACCCACCCCATGTGGAAGAAACAGTTGTATTGTCAAAGCTCATAGAATTCACAAATATTATAGACCGTGATAATGACAATTTGCCATGTGAACGTTAAAATGTGCTTGTGACTTTAAGTATCACTATCTTATGGTACTGTGAAATTTATGTAATCAGTTAATCTCAATAATTATATTAAAAATCTGTTCACCCTCCCAAATAAGTTGTACTAATTTATCATTTTTGTGCACATAGTACTACTGAGAGTCAAGATATTTCATAAAAGAAGGCACCTTCTCCTTTTAAATAAAGGTAAATATAATTGGAAATTATGATGTTTTCTTCCTCTCTTCCAGATTCTGCTTTTAAGTCCCAGAGTCTTGCTTACATTCGAAGCCTGTGGCCGTGGGTTCTTGGATAGAAGCTCTACCCATCAGGGGACATAAGGCCATCACCATTTGTGGCCTTCTCTTCACCCATCCTTCCTCTGCCTTTCTGACTGGGTCAGCAAGGGTGACCTTAGGATCAAGGTGAGACCTGAAGCCTTCCCTTCTCTCCTCCATTTTCTTTAAAGCTGGGGAGCTGAGGAGGGCGTGGTGGACAGCTCCTTACTTTCAGAGACTGAAGATTCCCACCCCCGGCCCCCAACA